ATGACTTTTACAAGCCGATCGCCTGTCTGATTATCAAGATATTTATGATTGGAATTACAAATTTTGAAAACCGTTCGCCTGACGGTTTTCATAACACTACAGTCTATTGGGGAAAACGAGTATGGTAAAACCGGTCACTCAAAGATTTTTACTTTTTTGAGGCACTTCTTGATCATTTTGAAGCGCAATTTTTTAGGGCTTCAATATTACACCATATCACAGACACTGATAACACGTAGGGCCGTGTATCTCACATTTAGCATTGTTAAACGATCCCTTTAATGTAATTGTGGGCTATACCATACATCAATTCAGAAGTACATTTATACCAAAATCTGATCAACGTCAGAGACCTATCGCTGCTATACCGGTTGGGTCAAATCCAACTCTTTTGAAACTGCTATATAGTCCAGTATAAAGAACAACCCTGCCCTACAATTGATAAATGAAAAATATAACTTATATCCTTTTCCGATTACTGTTTGACCTAATTATCCAGCTTGTCGCGATTGTATTTGTGACTAAAACACGACGACCACCACCACGAGAATATTATATTTACAATCGTCCGCAGTTCACTAATATGAACCTCGGAATATGAATTACACAATAACGACTGTCAGTCGCTTTTGTTGAACTATCAAACATCAAACGAATTCCCACCGAATCTTGATGAGAGCTCCTCCTCGCTTTTCACTGCCTTTTCTGTTCGTCCCACATACGGGCTATTATCGTCGGTATAGACCAGACACAAATAGTTCTGGATGCGTTTTATTACAATTCTGGCTTATTTTTCACTCCATATAGCTGACAAAAGACATGAGGGAGAGAGAGCCCGAGGGTAGCCTAGATATTTTGGGTGTATTCATGTGGGTCGGATCGTGAACGCACGAGTTTAAAGAACTAAGCACTATGAATGAAAAACTGCATGGAAGAAATTAATAAAAGGCAGAACAGAGTGCGTAGCAGCTTTTAGAGTTTAGTTTTCAACAACATTGAATATAATTTTATTTCGGCAAAAATATTTACAAATTCACATTTACCTTTAGTCGTTTTATGTGCTTGTGTGTAATGCCTAAATGTGCGATTTTAACAAGCTGACTTTTAAAAAGGTATTTTCTCCAGATTATAAAAAAAGGGAGGAAAAATAATCTGGTATAAAAGGCACTTTCAAAAGTGAGGGAACTTTTGTTATTAGTCTATTGGAAGTATCTGAATCTCCAATTCCCTTAAATTGAGATACCTGAAACATGACTTTAATCTTTTTAAAGTTATAGGCCTGGTTCTTACTAAAATATGAACATCATAAAACTACCCTCTGTTACTCCTCGGAATAGTTCATGATTATTTTAAGGAGCATTTAAAAAAAAAACTTTTGATGTATTAACCACGGACACTTTGTTGATTGATTGCACAAGCAATGCAATTTCAGAGCAGCCTATTATTATTAAAGAGCGTCCTCAAAAGAAGACGATGACTCTCATGTCTGTACTACAGGCAGAGCTTCAGGATCATGTTCACCATTTATTATTTTTTCCTATCACCTCTTTCTTCTCGGTCTTCATCTTCTTTTATTCTATTTTCAGGCAGGAAATGAGCTCTCGATTCGTGAAGATGTTCACCTCAAGCCCCGGATAATCTTAGGCACACTTCATCGTCACACAGGCGTACCAGGGTTCCATTCGAGGCGGTGGAGGAGGGGTGGTGGTGGTGGTGGTGAGGGGGGGGGGGTCGTTAGTCTGACTATAGATCGTCGACAGAGCAGCGATTTATCGAGTCATCTTTATCTACCGTTCGTTCTATTTTTACCCCTCCCCCATCCTTCATCCATTGACTTGTCCGTGCTATTCAATTTGGGGCACGTGCCCCTTGCCCCTCCGGTGCTACGCCAGTGTCTTTAAAACGGAACACTCGACAAGCTAGCTGTGACCTTTGGGTAATTTTCATGGAAGATGATTGCGAGAAGAATGGGTCCATAATGGGTCTTCATTGCTTAATTTACTTTGCGCTTATAATTTGAGACGACACTCGCAGCACTTTAACGGGCACTTTAAGCAGACAATTAAAAAGAGAGGAGATTATAAAAAGAATTGGGGAGAAAGGGTGAGATGAAAAGATGAAGGGAAGAAGGAGACATTTTGAAATAGCCAACGGAATGAGGAGAAGAAGACAAAGATGCATGCGTATGTATAATGGGTTATGTTTACTGGGAGAACGTATGGAGGGGCGGGGTGGTATTGGAAATAGGGGAGAAATAGGGAGAAGAGGAAGGTAGGAAGATGGTAACACGATCAGAGTTAGAGGAGGAATAAGAGGAGGAAATATAGAGCTAGATAATGTGATTAGATAAGACGGAAATAGAGAGAGTAAGAGATCAAGGTGAGGAGAAAGTATCGGAGGAGAGGGCGGCAGAAGAAGGAAGATATCCGATGAGTTCAGAAAAGAAAAAAAAGTGAAGTTTTATGCATGAAAAGGATTAATGAAAGCAAAGAAGAGAAGACTGCAATGCCGCGGTGAATGAAAGAGAAAGGCATAAATATAAAATGGACGTGCTGTGCACACATGATAAGCTAGCAAAATAAACCGAGCATTTAGAAGACAGAATTTAAAAATCAGATTTGTTGTTGTTGATTTAATATATAGAAAGAAAAGACAGATAAAACAGTGGTCATGTATTTCAACTAACGTATAATGACGTGGAGAAAAATATGAACACGATACCCTATCCCTTCGTTTCAACAGTCAACAGAGGAGAAGAAGAAGAATTCTTCATGTATCCAATCTCGATTCCTTCTACATCCAATCTCTCATCACAGGTTCTAACTTTTTTCTTTCTGGGCCATACTCCTGCCATCTATAAATCAGACTCTGTGCATCGGGATCTCAGACAAGAGAGACTATAATGTGGATGAGCATATAGCTCTGGGCTATGACGGTATTGGGTGGGGATGGACTTGTGCAGCTCAGAGACTTTGAACTTGCCCCTGGTTGCAGTCATTGCAAGGAGAACCAGGGGCGTACCTTTGGGTGTTGCCATTCAGTGAAGGGGGGGGGGTGGGGGACCGGTCTTTCTAGGTGGATGAAATATAAGGAAACAAACCAATCAAGATCGAGTGAAGGGGTAAGGCCTTTAGGAGCCGGGGGGGGGGGGGGGGTTTCAGGAGGGAGTACTGAACAGGCGGGCAAGATTTTTCACCGGCAAATATGGAACAGAGGTTCATGTATCAGACCGCCTGGAGAGTGGCTAAAATGGGAACCGTTGACTACGACTGTCTGCAACTCAGTAGAAACCTTTAAAGCTAGTCTCTAGGAAGCGACCCAAAGGGGGCAATATGAGCATAAATCCTCACTACGACTGCAAACTGATGTTCTAAATGCAATAAACACTCTCTTTTCAACGATAACATTCTTATTTTCGAGGATCATGCAGTACAAGGATCAGAACAGATTCAGTCTTGTCCCTCTTTTAAATCACCTTCTCCTTTTCTCTCTCTCCCCCTCCCTTTTCTGGCCGTGATTCGAATGAGTAGCATTTGCTCGTGTAAACTAGCAAAGAGATACAAATCATCGGTGTATATTACTAGTAAAATACTCTCCTATATCTGAACATCGCTGTGATCTCGATCTCTCAAACTGAAACGCCCTCTCTTGCCACATTTCTGAAACGTTATTATCTTATCAAGATGGCAGCCTCCAGTAAACTCTGGGAGAGAGCGACCTGCTATGAGCTTGGGCATGTTTGGACTCCTTCTTGCTTGGCATCTACGTTATCTATAGCTAATGCATCAGTGAAGTATTCTTTCAAGTTATATGCTGCATTCTACTTAGTGAGTATGATGGTTTGTGGTAAGCTTTTGAATATTTCAGACTTTGTTTACTTACTGGGGGCGGAGACCCTATCATGTCGCAGAAACGTGCCTGGTGAGGCCGGGTAGGTTTCTCCTAGCGTTCGCTGGCCCTGGCATGCGCTTGGGACACACATGTACGTGTTGGTTTGGCCTTGGGTCTGGGCGTGGTCATCTGGGCTTGGTCACAGTCCATGGCCAGAAATCCCCAAAGAGATATGTAAATTGAATTTGCTCTAATTAAAATTACATTGTCACATTCTTGACCATTTGTTGATCTCAGCAGAAATAATGTCTATTTTATCTCATTGGGCTGCATTGCCGTATGGGCAATTTTATAATTTGCAATTCATTGCCTTTGGCTGACTTGTTTTTAAAGTTACTTAAATCTTAGGTCCAGGTCTGTCAAGATTTCTAAAATTCAATTTGAATCCGAATCCTAAGCCAAAATGGCAGTAATGAGTAAATTTTGGCGGCAGTGTACCTGTTATGAATTTCTACATTGTTGGTCTCCGACATGTTTTGGAGCTACTGTTTCTATCGTCAATGCAGTAGCAAAATATTCACTAAAGATGCATGCAATCTTCTATTTGGTATGTATCGATTTTGAATTTTTAGTGATGGAGATACATCTCAAAATATCACTCACGATAATTGTTGAGTGAATTAAATGGAGGTATAGGGTCTAGAGGGTCTAGCTCTATTAATTCTACATATATTTTGTATAATTTTTATTTCTCACCTTTTTTTTATACCTTGATGCAAGTTTGTACATTTAAGTTTAGTTGAACCAGGCAATCAAATTATTTTATCCTAAAAAGATGAGAACAATTATTTAGTTTTATTGTTATTCTTATTTTAAAACTTATTAAAATTTCATAGAAATAAAGTTATTCAGTGATTTTCTTTACAAAAGTATGTAGGTGTATTGATAGAAAACATCATTACTATTCTTTTAGATTTCTTCTTGTTCTTAGTCTTTATATTCAATCTCTTTAAAAAAGATTACAATTACCGGCATCTGAAAATAATATTTTATTAAACAGATAAATTTTAAGTTTAATTCTGGATAATGTATTCCAGACTTTGGTGGAAAAGGTTTATATAAGCAACATATTGGTGGATGTATTTATAGTTATTAATGATTATTATTATTATTTTTTTTTTTTAATTTTTATATGAACCCTTATCAAGATCAGACAGATTATTGAACAAGAAAACAAATTACTAGAATGTGCAGTGCCGAAATCCTTTAAAAGGACAGAATAATCGGCTTGTGCCTTGTTGAATGCGTTTTTTCTGGGGTTCCGCTCCTAGTAACTGCCTCATATTTGAAACATGAAATTATGTACAGTTCTTGGTGTCTGAAAAGCTAATGTAAGCATGTTTTCTCTTCGGACTCCACTAATGAAAACTTTGAAATCTTAACAAAGTTATTTACAAGCTTTTGGTTGTCCATACCATGCCTCCTTCGTTCCCTTTCTACAGATCTCACACACATATGGAAGACTGAGGAAGAAACAGAGGTTGTCATGGTCACGAGTACTATCCTACCTCGGTGATGTGCTCCAGTCGACATCCTTTCTTAGTAGCAATGTCACACTAGTTATAGCTGCATTCTGTGTATTTAGGTATCTCTTCAAATGCATGTGAACTTGAGTTGTATACAGGCAATTATAAGGCAGCACATTCTCAATATATACATGTTCTGTTCAACGGTAAATTAAGAAAATTGAAGAAAGAAAAAAAGAAGTTTCAAAAGTGAAATAACGGCAGTATGTGTAGAGCTACCGGTAGGCATTTTAGGCAAATGTTTTTAAGTTTTTAATCTGGCTTATGGGCTGGGAGAATATTACTATACACTGTTGAACAAGGTGTAATATATTGGCTATCTGCTGCCTTCTTGTTCACAAAATAACAAATTCTGGCTTGTCCTGTTACAATCCTCAGCTTGAGCTTAACTTTCCTTCTGTATAGGAAAAAAATGTTAATTTGGGCTTGCTTTTTTTCATCGGATGAAAGGTTCATTTTTGTACAGAATACAGATTATCTTTTCCCCATCTAACCAGTGTGAATTGTGAAATAAATTTACCACACAAATTATATAAAAAAGATCATGGTTCGGCTGAAACTGAAGTTGAATACGTACCTCTTCAAAGTTTTTAGTGCAAGCCAGAATTATGTTGGATAAATTGGAATATAAGTATGCTATTATGTTCTGCTTGAAATGTACATTACGGTTTACCACCAAAATGTGGATGTATTAAAAACATGAAAAAAATCAGCATGCAACATGCAACCAAGCTTATAGAAATTAGTCACATGTTTTGCTTAGTTTCATATTCAATGTTGGTTCAAACTATCAGCTTGTGAAATCAATAGTTTGCAAAATCGATTCAGTAGCAATTTCAGTAGAGCACTTCATGATAGCTTTCTTATATTCTTCTCTGGGTTTTTTCCCTAATGCGTAAATTCATTTCTATTTTCTTTCCTTTGAAAAACTTTTTGTCTTTTTGTTTGGTGTGTGTATCATTCCATACAGATATCAGCCTTAGTTCGAAAACGAAGTTGGCCGTATTTTCAAAAGGGTCTGCCCGTGGAAATCTTGCAGTCTACCGCTTTTTTGTCCACCAATGCTGCCCTCTTCATGAACTTTATTTGTGTTTATAGGTACTGTTCATAACCATGGAAATTTCAGTTAAAAAATGAATGGGGTTTGATTAAAAGGGTCCTGTAATTTTGAGAGAATTCATTCATTTAGAGTAGGTAACCCTTTCGTATTCGTTGAATTGAACCATTAATTGTGAAGTCTTCAACATATTTCTAGCACCTTAACCTTGTTTTGAATTTGTAAGCTAACAGTGCTCATTGGGGTTATATTGAACAAATATATTGATAACTTACAAGTTACAACCATCACTGCTAAACTCATTTACATTTCCTGCACACTCTTAGTTTTTGATAAATCACAAAGATTCATGCCTTTGGTCGTCCTTGAGAAAAGAAGAGATAAAAGAAAACAGCCATGTTGACTTTACTTATAAAATATAGTTTATCAACTCCATCTTTAGACAACACTTAATATTTCATTGTTCTTGTGTGTAAATGTGTGAAAAGTATTGTCTCCTAACGTCGTATTACACTTTCCTTTGAGGTACTGGTTTACAATACCTGACTTTATTATCAAATACCCAAACTACTAATACATCAATCGTAACAGAAAATTTGGTTACTACTTTGGCGAGATATTAGTCTACATTTGCCACCCTCCACCCAGGAGAGGTAAATGGGTATCTGTCTGGAGTTAATTCCTTGAAATGCAAGAGCGCAATAATAGCAGCCATGCTAAAACCAGGGTAATAATTGTGGAGCACCAAGAGTGTCAAATCAGACAGACGTGAGCACTATACAAAAATCAACTATTATCACTATTATTAATATGTATTATCTTGGAAAGACAGGGAGCCCATTCCAAAATTAACTTAAGAGAGGGAGGGTTCTAGATTTTTTATGATCCCAAAGTTTATCACTGTGACAATTAATATTTTATTACAATTGATACAAGAATTGTGATTTGAGAGACAAGTGTTTCCATAGTTTTAGATACTAAAGAGAGTTATTCCACTTATATCAGCATACTGGTTATTCTGAAAAGTTGAACATGTAGGCCTACTTGTAGTCAATAATTATACATGCCCCTTTCTCAGCTTATAGTTGATTGTTGAATGTAGTTTCTGAACTTTTTGTTTCTCTCTTCTTTTTTTCAGACATATATGTGGTGGATTTTATACTGGGTTTGGTTTCCTGTCCTCCTTCCCTGCTTGCTGCATAGCCATATTGACTGAGAGGAAAAGCAGGTGAGATGTTGATTGGGAAAGTGATGATGATGATGATGATGATGATGATGATGATGATGATGATGATGATGATGATGATGATGATGATGATGATGATGATGATGATGATGATGATGATGATGATGATGATGATGATGATGATGATGATGATGATGATGATGATGATGATGATGATGATGATTGATGATGATGATGATGATGATGATGATGATGATGATGATGATGATGATGTTGATGATGACGACGATGATGATGATGATGACGATGATCGATGATGAAGTTGATGATAATGATGATGAATGATGATGATGATGATGATGATGATGATGATGATGAAGGTGATGATGATGATGATGATGATGATGATGATGATGATGATGATGATGAAGACACTGATGAAGACTTGATAATGAGTGATGATGATGATGATGATGATGATGATGATGAAGAAGAAGATGATGATGAATGATGATGGTGATGATGATGATGACGATGATGATAATGACTATCGTGATGATTAAGATAGCAATAGTGTTGGTAATCAAAGTGAAAATGATAATAATGAAACTAATAATAATGAAAGCATCACAGAGAGCATCTACAGTCTATCACTGTATTATCATTACCATTGGATTCATGCATGATGTCCCTTCATTGCTACTCCATAGAAAATATATGATCGCTTTTGTGACGAACAGGTCAAGAAGTCAAGCTTATTGCCTTTTAGCTTCCTACCGATAGTACCTTTTCTCCATATCTCTCCTGGGTAAATATTTGCAAATGTACTTTTTCTTGGCAAAGAATTTTTTTCCTATTACAGCAAGGTGTCCATGTATCAATTTGTTTTGAAGTAAACATGGTCCCCAGTTTTCCTTGCATTTACTCATTAATTTCTTTTGCAAAAGAAATGAAATATTTTCAAGTCATGTATGTACAATGTATTAGAAAATGTAATATGCAAATATGGTATATTTAGTTAATGAGATTATATTTATTCTATTCATATATTTCTTATTATATTGCAGGAGAGGAATGCTAGCACTGTACACAACAAATCTTGTAAGTATCTATTTGATCTCTTATGTTTAGTGTCTTTTATGTTTTTCTTATATTTTAAGTATCTATGTGTGTATCTTTGTTTCTATATCTTTGGTTCTTTCCCTTTCTTGTGGTATTCTGTTAATCAAAATATGTCATAGTGTTAGGAAACTAAAGTAACATAAATAATGATGAGGATGATGATGGTTTCGCTCCTTCATATCTTTCTGAACTCCTTCCTCGATACACTCCTGTCCGGACTTTGCGATCTGCTTCTCAATCTCTCCTCTCTCGGTCTCACATTATTTCATACAAACAATACGGTCAATGTTCTTTCGTTTATGCAGCTGCTTTTCTTTGGAACAATCTCCCCCTTCAAATTCGCAATGCTAGCTCTGTAAATTCATTTAAAACAATGCTAAAAACACATCTCTTTAAGTCTTGTTCCTGAATAGCTCTTTTGACCTTTTGCCTTTTAATATATTTTGTGTAGATTACCGTAGGATACTATTAATTTATGAACTATTTGTATTTTGGTTGTAAGTGATTTGTAATTATGTACATGTATTATTTTCATTTGCAAAGTTTTAATGGTAATTTAAATTGATATAATTTGTAATGCAAATTCTGTTTCCTTTACTTATCAGCTATTTTCTTCTAAACCGCTTAGAGGCAATTTGCAATTTGCGGTATACAAATATCTTATTATTATTATTATTATTATAAATGTTTTCACTATCCTTTCTTTCTATTCTTTCCTCCCAGGCAATGGAAGTGCTCTTTAACATGTGTAAGCAGAGAGGATTTGTCAGCCCAATCAAAAATGGAGAAGTAAGCCTCCCTTATGATCTTTAAAAAAATGTATATCACATTTAATTTGTATTAATTTGTTATTTTAATTTGTACTACTACTACGCAAGTGCTGTTGCTAAGAAAGCAAATATAAATGTACATCTATGTATGTAAGTTCTAAGTCTTGCTCCAATGAATTTGTGGCTTTAAAGATAAAGTTGAGTTCGGTCATGCGATTGCATTGTGGAAGAAGCGTTGTGGAATCGATCAGAAAAGGTTGACCATCTAGCATATAAGTATTGGTGTGTACTACTACTGCAAGGTTCTAGAATCATCAAAATGATAAGAAATTTGGCCCAGTCTTGGTTAAGTTACAAGCACTGTACACAGAAAGATGTATATGGGACTACACAAACACGTGGCATAAACAGTTAAAATAAAAATCCTTCCAACTGTATGAGCAAAGGCGTATTTCCAGGCATAAAAATTTGTCCTGATTTGTATGCTGTTACATGCCATATTTAGAATATTAAGGCATTTGAAGAGCCATGCTTTTCAGGGAACATTTTGTGTCCTTCCACACTTGCATAATAACACTGATAACAGTCTCAAATTGTTTTTCACCTCTTCCCAGAACTCGACCTTCTCTTTAAACACTATCCAATTGATTAGTTACTTTAGCATTACTTGTAGGACAATGTCACCCTGCGCTTGGTTTGAACCTTAGACACTATATGCTTGAAGGATTGAGCCATCACTACTAGTGGCAGATCCAGGATTCTTTGACTGGGGATGGGGTGAGAAAGAGCTCTCTACATTTCCTTGCAAGCAAAATGATAGAATAAATAAATGTTTTCATATTATCATGAGCTCCCTAATTATCTCATTTTAGGTCCAACTTTTAGAGCAGATCATGTTTAAAGAAATAGGTTTATCTTTTTGCATGTTCATGCTATGTAGGCAATGTATTATGTTTAGGAGCATGTTTAATTAAATGTATGTAATCATTAGAGTATTTCACTGATTCGTTGTTAAAGTAATTAATATGTTTGAACTAGATATCCTTGACCAACATGCTCTGATCAGCATATTTTGTGGCTAATAGTAAGGGATTTCTCGGTTACCATACAGATATCTTTTGTTTGTTTAATCTTCACCTTATCATACTGAAACAGCAAAGTGCAATGTCTAATTGGTTGGGATTTATTATTATTATTATTATTTATTTATTTATTTTATTTTATTTTATTGTATTCTTATTTTGTGGGGGGGGGGGGAGGGTTTGTACATTTAGTAAGCTGTAACTGTAAGCAGAATTTTCACTTATAAAGGAAGAGCTTAGCTCTGAGAAGGGTTGTCATGGTAACTATGATTGTCAAAGCCAAAGACAGGCAGAGTTAGGCTTGGCTCAAGGCGTTTATAGGAACTATGGTTAAGTGTCGAATTAAAGTCTGAGTCTGCAGACTACCAGCACACTGCTAGTGGACTGTTCACTATCTTGACAAGAGGGGATGATATCAAGGGTCATCTTCAATCAGGGATTAATTCTTTTTGATTTTTGATTGGCATGTGTTATGATTAGTTGCCTTGTGTATGATAAGAAGCATGTGGGCTCAGGGACACTCTACCCCTAGGGGCAAGACTGCGCTCCTCAATCTGGTCAGATTGTTTTAATTTGGTCTGAAATGATAAGATAGAAAAGAACTTCTCTGAAGGGGCATGATTCAGACTGTAAAAAGCATTTAATCATTTGGAATTTTATTTTATATTTTCATAATGAAAATAAAAATTCTATTCAAATATTGTAGTGTTGGTTGTTCCTTGGCAAGTCTGAGATGAGTTGGTGATCGCCAGCTGTGTAAAACAAATATTATTGGATTTCTATCCTTGGCTCTGGTGATTATATTCTAGACAGGATTATTTAATTTTCTTGTGTGAATGGAGGTCAAAATATGTAACATGAAGCATCATTGATGTAAGGATATTTATATGAGAATATAAATGCTTCCAGGGTGTTTGGTCTAGGGTTTAAGGAACACTCCAAATCCTTATAATGTCCTTGATTTGTCTGAAATGAGAAGTTGATACCCCCCCCCCCTTTTACCCCTAGGGCTACAATGTCCCTGAAACCACATGCTTTTTATCATTGACAAGGCATCTTATCATGAAAAATCTCCACCCCCCTCTCCCTACCTTGTCCTCATTCAGAGGAAAGGTAGTTCAGTGGATAGAGCAGTGATCTTTGAAATGGAAGGTTGTCAGTCCAAAAACAGTTTTTGGCTCGTGCTTTTTGGTCAGGCATTTATCCTTGATCGCCTAGTCCCCTTTTGCACATGTCTTAGTACTAGGGTGAAATACATGCTAACATCAGCATTTAGTTCTTATCATACTATTCTATTGTACCATGCTTCTTTAGAATCAATGAGGGATAGTTCAGTTCAATAATAATCTATTGAAGAAAAATCTTTCTGTCAACATGATGGCCCTATTCCTTTCAAAGCTTACACATCTCCTTTTCAATTAAAAAAAGATATTACTTGTACAAAATCATAATTGATATCAGTCTCAAATTCAGGCATGATAAATCCAGATCAATCAAAACTCATTGAAAGATGCAGTCCTGATGTATGATGGGGTGTTTAATTTTGGTTCATTCTATGCCTATTCAAAGTTAATTTATAATAATGATAGTTTGTTAAAATGTGACTTATTTTATCATTTCAGGTCCTGTTGTTTGCAGCTGCCTCAGCAATAATCTTCTTTCTGCTCAGGTAAGACTAAAACTTTTATCCTGTTTATTTTCCAAGTAAAGATTGTGAAACCGAAGAAACAAAAGAAGAGAATGTTAAGTTAGGCGAGGCGTCAAAAATAAATATACCAGCCAGCGGCAGCTAACTGCACTTGTGCGTCCTGGCTGCATTTTTTAAATTAGCTCAGCCGGCTACTGCTGGCGGTATAGAAATGGCAT